CAGGTATATGCCTGGCTAAAACGTTTAAAATTATTTTTTTTAAAGTTAAGTGGGCCTGATGTGGTGGCACATGCCTTTGATCCCATCACTCGGGAGGCAGAGGTGGGCAAATTTCTGTGAGATTGAGGCCAGCCTGGTCTACATAGCAAGTTCCAGGCCAGCTGGGGCTACAGAGAGACCCTGCCTCCAAAAAAACAAAACAAAAACAACAACAAAAAGTGGACTTCAGTAGGCCCGAAGTAGGCAGTAAGCTTTTTGTTTTCCTAATGAACTGAACAATGGATTTAGCTAGAAGTCTTGATGTTTAAATCCAAATTCTCCAACTTATTAGCTCTATCAGAATTTGGAAAGTTAAATGAACTTATCTGAGTCTTGGTCTCTTAATAAAATAATTAGAAATGCACTTTGAAATGAAATAGTTACTTCATTTAAAATGAAATAATTAGATGCACTTTGCAGAGAGACTGTGAGAAGAAATGAGAGTGAGGCAGATACAGGAAAACCCTGACCACAGTGTAAATTAGCATGATCCTTTCAGAAGATTTTATTTGAAAATCATTGATGTAATAAGAAACTAAATATTAAGTAATCTGCTGTATATTTTAATATTTTATTATTTTTATTTTACATGTATGAGTGTATTACCTGCATGTGTGTAAGTGCACGTGTCATACAATGCCTCCAGAGGTCAGAAGAGGGTGTTGGATCCTCTGGAATTGGAGTTATAGATGGTTGTTAGCTGCCATGTGGGTGCTAGAAATCAAACCTGGGTCTTCTTCAAGAGTAGCCAATGCTCTTAACCGCTGAGCCACCTCTCCAGCCCTATAATCTGTTATATTAACCATCAAGTTCTTAGCTAATTTTCCTTCCAGCAGGGGCAGAGGAAGCTGCCCAGTTGGAAGGAATAGTGACGGAACTTCTGCAGAATACCCAGGGATCTTTTTTCTTTTTTGGTCTTAAGTATTTTCTAAGATGGTTACATTCCATATAAGTTGCATTAGATAAATAACAAAGAATTTCAGTTGAATCAAATAATATGATTCTGATTAACAAATACACATGAGATGAGAAAGGTCTCTTGGACCACAGAGAAGAAGTGTTAAACTCCTATTAACAGGAAAGCTGCTTGAAGGCTGGCAAGCCTCCCTCAAAGGAGTTTTGGGAAATCCTGTGATGTCAGATGTAGGAATTTCCAGGGAAGTTAGTTTAGCATCTCATTGGCTTTCCTGCCTCTCGCAGAGGGATATGGAGTTAGTCATCACCTGTCCATTCCATGTTAGGTTTCATTTATTTGAGACCTGGTCTTGTATAGCTCAGGCTAGCCTTGAACTTGTGATCCTTATCTCATATACAAAGTGCTGGAATTACAGATGTGAGCAACTATGGCTAGCTTAAATTGATTTATTTACATAGAAAAATACAATAAAGAGCTTTACTTAAGAACAAGGGCTAAACAACATTTTTCTTTTGACACAATTAAAATTTTATTTAGAAATGAAACCATTTAAAGATGTACATAAATTTGAAACTTATTGAACATGTTCTGTTCAGAGCTGTCTGTTAACAGCTCCTAAATATGTATGAGCCTTAAATTAGACTAAACTGAAGCTCATCTAGAGAAAAATGAGGTAACTTCTTTGAGGTCTTCTTTGCATTTATCTATGCCTAAAGGTAACTGGCTACAAGCGCAAATTTTTTTAAAGAGCAATGCATGTCTCATAAAAGCAACAAAGTGGTCAATATTTGATAAGGATAATATTCAAACATTCTATTTAGATGTTCAAGTTTTGTGGCTTAGAGAGGACAATTTGAAAAGTAAACAGTTGGAAGTGTTACAAAAAAAAAACAAACCACAAAACATTCTATTTAGACAGTAACAATGTGGCCACTGTTGGCCTAAATTGGGAAAAATAATCAACACTCTGTTGTCTAGAGATAAGAAAATAACTTTAGAAGTTGTGGAACTTGAAAACTTAAGAAAGAAATGTATTTCCAAAGACAGCATCTCAGTGTACTGGGAAATGCTGAATGAAAAGAGTGACAGAGCTCCCCTCGGCGAGGAGCCACTCCACTACTCTCACTGGTGCAGAGGATGCCCAAGTGAGCCCCCAAGTGAGCAGTGAGTGAGCTCCTGGCAGTCTTCCAAGCTATAAGAGGCTTCAGTTTCTATAGGTTAGCACTTCATCCAGATTCTCTCCCTCCCTCCCTCCCTCCTTTTGGCTTTTTGAGGCAGGGTCACCCTATAGCCCCAGCTGACCTTGATCTCATAGAGATCTTGGAATTACAGGTGTGGGCCACTACACGCTGCTCTGTCCAGACTTTTTATGACTATGAACATGCTGATAATGACTGACGCTTTTAATAAGACTGAAATAAAAATGTAATAGAATTTCACATTTTTTCAAACACCATGTATGGGTCTGAGCTGATTAATGAGAAAAAAGTTTGAGGAAAGCTAGACAATGCCACATGACCAAAGAGGTCGACCCTTTCTTTCACAGCTTTGGTGAGGTGCTCCCAGAACATTCCTGTTTTGAAACACAATACAATGGGAAAACTTCCCACGAAGGCTCTCACAACTGCTCTGTTCTTTCACTTGTTTTTGCTTGTGTGAGGTATCAGGGCTTGCTTGTGCTGGAGGTAGAATTTGCAGGCATGAATGTGTTAACTTGACCAGATTATCAGGTTTGCCTTCCTCTTTAAATTAAAAAGTATAAGGAAGAGAATCTCCACAATGGAAGAAATGAGTGGTGTAATGCAGAGTTGTTGAGTAATATTGTCATTAAAAGTTCTAACTAAAAAACCCAACCTTCAGCTGGGTGTGGTGGTGTGCATACCTTTAATCCCAACACTTGGGCAGCAGAGGCAGGCGGATCTCTGTGAGTTCAAGGCCAGCCTGGACTACATAGTGAGTTCCGGGCCAGCTGGGGCTACAGGAAGACCCTGTCTCAAAAAGACCAAAACAATAAAAAAAAAAAAACAAAATAAAACAAAACAACAACAAAAACTCAACCTTTACTACATCCTGGTGCTGTTAAACTCTTCATGTCCAATTGGTCTCCCTCAGATGATTACCTGTTATCTCTGCCAAACCACTCCCTGGAGCGAGGCCTGTGGATTCCAGAGAGGTACTCCCTAGAGCTCCTTTTACTTATTTAATTAGCTAATTTAATTTAGTTTTTTGAGACAGGGTCTCACTCTGTAGCCCAAGATGGCCTAGAACTCACCATGTAGCTCAGGTTGCCTTGGCCTTGAACTTAATGACAGTCTTCCTGCCTCAGTCATCTGAGTGCTGGGCTTGCAGAGCTCCCTTTAGAACAACACAGAAGGTGATGTGGCATGATCTCCCCCAAGGGTCCTCTCAGAACACCTATGGCCATTCCCCTAGTGCAGGGCTAGGTAAATGTGGGAAATTTCTTTTTCTTTAGTGCTGGGGATGGAATCTAAGCCCTTGCATGTGCTAGGCAAGCACTGTGCCACTGTACTACTGCCCTAGAGTGAGCATATTAGTTCTTAATAATCATCCAGCTCTGGAAAAACCCAAAGGTAAGCAGAGAAGGCGCTCTGAATTTGCTGTCTTCCTTCTCCTGGAATTCCCCTTTTTCTTGCTTAAGCCAAAAGCAGAGGCTCATGGTCTCTAGTGGAGATGGCACATGGCTGACTGGAAATACAAAACAACTGCTACCCTTGAACCCCAGCCAACAAGCTCTCTGGCCTTCCTCGATGACCCAAGGGCAGTGATGGCCATCACTGAAAGGCAGACAGCTGCTCTGCCATGCTGGCCTGCTTACCAGGCTTTATCGCATGTTTATTTAAAGTGTGTTTCACATACACATAATTTGTATAAGTACACAGTAAAGTTGCACAATGGGTGGCACATGGTAGCACTTGATGCAAGTGTTTTTTTCCCCATTCCCATGGCCCAAGGAGGCTTGTGAGTAAGGCCATTTACACGGCTGAAAAACGATGATGAACTGAAGACAGCTCTCCTGATTGTGTAACTGTAACTGAAGATGGGCCTTCTGATTGTATAATTGTAACTGAAGATGGGCCTTCTGACTGTATAATTGTAACTGAAGATGGGCCTTCTGATTGTATAATTGTAACTGAAGATGGGCCTTCTGATTGTATAATTGTAACTGAAGATGGGCCTTCTGATTGTATAATTGTTCACTTCAGACCTCGGGATTTTTAATGCATCAAATAGGTGACAGACAACAGTTTGAGGCAGAAATGGTTATTCAAATGATGAAAAGTTGAGGAGCGTGTGCATGACTTTATGCCAGCACTGGGGAGGCAGAGGCAGGTGGATGGATCTCTGTGAGTCCCAGGTCAGCCAGGGCTACATAGTCACACCATGTCTCACACCTACCCCACCCCCCAAGTATAAGAAGTCTCAATCAACAGAAAAGTCATAACCTCTAGATCAGTTATTGCAACTTTCGGGAATTTTAAAATCTGAAAAGATCCCAGAAATCCCTAATGGCAATTTCTTCTTGAATCTATTTAAAATAAAAATGAAAGTTTTAATAATTAAGCTGCAGGCTCCACGGCTTGGTCACACAGTCCACATTTTAGCTTAAGTGTAGAACCAAGAAAAGACTGCTTTCCATAAACAAAATATCCTTTGGGTCTTTAGCAAACTAAACTAATGTGTGTCTATCTCCTCTTAACCAAAACCCTAAAGTCACCACAAGAAGCTACCACAAACAGTACACAATATCAAGTTGTAACACTGATTATTAATTTCCTGTTATTTATATATGATGAAGACACACTAAAACGAATCACTACCCAGGAAAGGTCAACTAGTAAACCAAATTATAAATGTGTAGTCACTAGAAAGAGAACATTAGACCTTAAGGCAGCATTGGTTGAGTCTTCTCTGGTAGAGTACCACATATTTAATTGACAAGTGAATGATTTTAAAACAATGATTTAAAATAAATGCTAAAACAATGCTTTGAAAAAGAAATATTGATTTTAGGATTCATGCAATATGAATTTGTATTGGAATTTTAATTTGGGATTAGAAAGTATACATAAGAACATAATGGTACAATTATTGCAGTCTTTCCTTGAATATAAAATATAGTAGAAATTACTACTATTAATTAGCACTCTTTGGGCTCCTTTTTAAAAATCCATTGTTGCATTGAAAGTAGTTACTAGAAAATTCTGCTGTGTTTAAATATCATGTGATCAAGTTGAGTTTTACTGACATGAAATGATTTTAAACTGCATGAATAACCTATCATGATGACCTGATTTTGTAACTATGTCCTTCGTGCTGGGTTTGCTTAGCTGGTAGACTGTCTAAATCACAGTGCCCCAAGCTTTGGTGCCAACCTAAAATGAGGACAACTACTGTGGCTGAAAAATCGAACTTATTTAAAAATGTTTCAAAGCTCTTTAATAAGTGCATTTGGGGATGTTTTCGTCGCAGCTTATTTTCATTGGGTTATGATGGTTAAGGATGAACATCAGTTGGCTGTTTTCGCATATCCAGGGATATCTGCCAACACAACTGTATGATATAAGGAATAGATTTTTTAAAAATGAACTCTAAAAAATGTTCAAACAGAAAGTGCTCTCACGTGGTGTGGAGAACTCAGACAGATGTAGGCACTTCTGCTTCGGGAGGTTTTCACATTTGGATTGCAGGTGGCTTCCCAAGTCCTCTGACTACTAGAAATTCCCTCACAAACCATCTAGCTCACTGAAAACTGTTCTCATAAACACCCTTTCAGAGCATTAATCTTTTCATCAAACTGTCTCTACACACAGTGGACATGAATCTTTCACTTCAGTGAGCAGCCTGGCCCCCTGGCAGAGGCAGCAGGGTGGTTCTCACACAAGGCCGCCTGCCCCACAGGACCAAGGTATCCACCAACAAAATGTAAAGGAGTGTGGAGTACAATTTTTCTCTAATATGTCTGCCTCTCTCTTTCTAGTTCCTTAGGTAAAAGTGATTCAACAAAGTGTAAATGATCCTTACACCACTCTAAAGCTACTGGGCTACTGGGCTACTACTTAAAACCAGTAGTTACTGGTAACTACTTAAAACAGTTTTTTTCTTTTTCTTTTTTTCAAGAAAACCTGTGCTAAAAAGGCACTAGATAAAATTAATTTCTTCACTCTTGTATATGGCAATTATATATTGTGTTAGACTCTATGATTTAACAAGGTGACATGTTTAGATAAAAACATCTGAATTATTCCGATCCATCTACTTTCATGTAAAAAAAATTTCAAGTCTGAGGAATAGTTGCTGTACTAATGGAGCCCAGCTGGAGCATGGAGTCAAGAGCGTCAGACTCTGTTGCCTCAGAACCAGTTTGCTGCAGACTCTGGCCTTGGCCACCAAGGGCGCTCCTCCTGGGAGGGTGAGCAGGACAGTGGCCTGGGCCCAGGAGGCTCACTGGCAGCAGCTGTGGGAGCCAAGCCTTCTGGAGACCTGAGTGAAGGAGACGAAGGTGAAGTTCTCACAGTTGTCCAGCTTGACCTTCTTGGCTAAGTTTGGGACAATTCCCCGGAGAGACCGCAGTCCCATCCTCTGCTCCTCATACCACACACTGCCCATGTCTGTGGTCTCTTTCCTGGCTGTAAGGTAGAAGGGGGACTTGGCCTCCATTTGGGTGGGCGGCCGATGGATATACATGTACTTGTAGAGGAGGCAGTAAGGGCACTGTTTGTGTCCCCTGGAATGCTCATGGTAGATTTTGCCATGACACACTCTAGTGGAACCACTCCGACTCTCTCGCTTGACACTGTCTGTCCGGGCAAAGTAGGGCTGGTTTTGTGGGTCTTTGAGCAGCTCAATGTCACCATACATTAGATCTGCATGCTCCTGCAGTGTCCGCATATTCAGGTACTGGCTGTTGTACTTGACCACAGTAGACAGGAGAGTGATGGGGCTAGCATCCCCTAGACACCCTGTCTGCCACATCTCTTCCTCGTCAGACAGGGAGAAGTAGACAATATTACGGGAACGGGCACCTGACATTCCTGCCTTACTCAGCACCCACAACTTCTCCTTGAGTTTCTTGGTGGAAGAACTGAAGGTGCTGCTGGTGATGGAAAAACCCACACCTGCATTCTTCAGGATGCGGTCCAGGCCTCGGCGAATGGCATGAAGTGAGGTAGCCAGGAAGTCTGAGCCATCACTCTTCTTGACGGTGACATAAAAGTTCTCCAGCAGCTCATTCAACTTCACTGCAGGGATCTCAAATGAGACAAACACCGAGGTTACACATTTGAGAACACCCAAACGGCTGACCCCTCCTTTTCCTAATCTCATTATTCCCTGCTGGGATGATTCAGAGATTAAGTTTAGTTCTGGAATCCTTCAGAAGGATGACTGAATTTCATGAGAACCTGGGGCCTGTCCTATGGAGGTTGAACCCTTAGCATTAGCATGATTCAGTATAACAGCAGTGAACTGCAACCTGGATGCTCCAGGCTTCATGGTTGGCTCCCTCTAAGTTCTGTAAAACTGAGCATTTCAACCTGCAAAGCAGGATATACTGGTGGATACCATCTCAAAAGATTTTATTAATGTTTACAGTAGACATGGGGCACGAGTTACCTAGGGTTTGTAAATAGCACTGAATACATGTGTAGACAAATACATACATACATTCAGATTACCATGACTATCATTATTCCTCTCTGGAATGTCCTTTCTTCTTTTTGCTTGGAAATCATTTGTTCCTTTCTCCTATAATAAAATTTAATCATCCTATCTGAAGGATTCCAGAACTAAACTTAACCTCTGAGACATTCCACGACTGACTTCTGTGATACCTGTGCCCACAGTATTTGCTTCCTGTTATTAAGCATGGGCTTCAGAGGAAGAGAACTAATATATCCAATTTGCATGGAACGCAAATGCCCTTTGATTTTCACTTGGATTTATCTGAATAGGTCCTACAATAATAATAGGAATAATCAGGAAGATTTTAACATCAGTATTTGTTAAAAAGATATGAAATACTTCATAAGTATAATGGCAGAGCTCCTTATTGGACAGGGTAGGAATAGAAGGAAGTTTGGCTCATAAGAATCTTTATGTTCAAGATGGAGATAAAAAGAGCAAAGTAGACCTTATTCTGTGAGGTCAGGCTAAACTACACATTCTTTGGACAAAAAGGAGATACCAATAAAAATGTGTAATTGAGTAGAAAGTGTACAGTTAACTCATTTTTCTTTCTTTCTTTTTTTTTTAAGCACAGAACTGTACTAGGATAGAATGAGCCTCCTCAGGATCTTCAGAGGCTGGTAATTCCTATCACCACAATTACTTTAGCAAACCTGGTTCCCTTAGCTGCTGCCACATCATGCAGAGCTAGTGATTGAGTTTGTATAAGTTAACTCATTTTTCTAATAGTTCTTGAGTCAAAGAGAAAATAAAAGGTGAATTACATATTAAAAACTGATCAAACTAGGGGCTGGAGAGAGATGGCTCAGCAGGTAAGAATGCTTGCTGCTCCTGCAGAGGCCTGGAGTTTGGTTCCCAGCACCCATGTCAGACAGCTCACAACCAACCCCTGTAACTCTAGTTCCAGGTGATCAGATGGCCTCATCTGGCTTCAACAGGTAATTACACATGTGCACAGACACACATACATAAACAAAAATAAATATTAAAAAATAAAAATAA